GACCCAGCGGCAGACCCCAGGCCCACAGCCAGCTGGCCAGGCGCAGTGGGTCAGAGCTGGGGGGGCACCCAGCAGCCCCTCCCCGGCCATTCCTGGTTGCCCCAAGGGAGGCCAAGCTGTGGCCGTTTTCCTGAAGGTGGGCACACTCAAGTCGCTGCCCTTGGAGGTGGGGGATGGGAGGGATTTGGGGTACCCCTGGGTCTGGCCCCAGCTCTGGAGATGGGGGTGTGTGACAGAGCTTCCAAAGGCCAGACTGAGGGCCAATGTGGGGCAGGACATGGGCATAGTCAGACTGAGCCCTGAGAAGGGGCACTCAGGTGCCCTGGGGGTTAGGAGACACCTTGGGACCCCACATTGGCTGATGGGCACCTGTCCTGCCCCTCACCCACCTTGGTGGAACCGGCTGGGGGCAGATTGTTGATCAGGCTCCAGCTTCAGTCCCGGGGGAGTGGGAGGGAGCAGTGGGTATGTCCCCGTGCCAGCTGCAGTTGAAGGTCAAGGTCAGAGACCAAGTCCAGCTGGCAGGGATCCACTCAGACAGCTTGGGAAGGAGCCCCGATTGTCAGCTCTCAAAGGACAGGGCGGGTGGGCAGGCGAGCTCGGGCTGGGGATCTAGTGCTGCCCCCCTACTGGAACCCCAGCCCTCCTTCCACAAGTGAGGCCCTTGCCCCCGCCAGGCTGCAGGGGTGCCCCGGGGGGAAGCAGTGAAGGGGCTTCTGCTCGTCCCTGAAAATACTGAGGGTGGGGAGGGATGGGCGGGGCCCTGTGCATCCCCCCAGCACTCAGAGATGGCAGACTGGCTGGAAGCAGGCGATGGGGGAGGCGGCCGGGGCACAGGCGCCTGGTGGGGCACAGAGACCTTCACAGTACCGGTGAGCATCACGGGCAGGTGCAGGAGGGGCTCGCCCGGCCACAGCCCTCCGCTCTCCTCCCCGGGGCACTTGCTTTGCTTATAACACCGTCAAAAGGAAGAAAAAAACAAACAAAAACAAAACAGAAAAACAAAAAATGGGAGGGGAACGAGGGGAAGAAGGAAAAAAACCAACAGCAAAAACCTTCTATAAAACACCCCCAGCTGGGCGAGCCCGACACGGCCAGAGCAGAGGGAGGGCAGCCCCTGGGCCCTGACTAGCCACAGCGCCAAAGCCTTTTAGGTCTGATGGGAAGGGGGTGACCTATGTACAGAGAAGGGACTGGGGGGTCACACGTGGTCCCCCACAAGGACCACGGGGGCGGTGGACAGGCTGGCTCTCTGCCGCCGCTGGGCCAGCTTGGACTCCGAGGGCGGGGACAGCTGCAGGCAGCGTGAGGTAGGTCTGATGACAACAGGCGGGCCCTGCCCCGAGGCCTCTTCTTCAGCCTCATCCTCCTCTCGCTGAGCCAGCTGCCGGTTCATGGCGATGGCCTCGGCTGCGAAGGACGTGAGGTCTTTGGCACAGCTGTTCCTGTGGGACAGGGTGGGAGCCATCTACAAACACACATCCTTCCCTGTTTCCTCCAGTGACCCAGGGGGGCTGTGTCGACCCCCGCCCCACACCTTTGGGCCCCTCCGAGTGCAGGATCCCAAGCAGGACCTATGTGAAGTGCTTAGGTGTCCATTCCCGGCTCAAAGAAACTCTTCAGTTTTTAACTGAATATTTAACCCCCCAAGTCCCCAACCCACTGGTGGCCTCACCTCTGCAGGACCATGGGCGTGGGCAGGGTGTTCTCTGGGGCACACTGCAATAAGACAGCAAACTCAGGGCTGGAAAGCAGATGGGACCAAACAAGACCCATCCCAAGGTCCCCAAGGGCTAATGGGGGTCCTGTCAAGGGAAGCTCCAGGTCCATGCCCCATCACCTGGACACTTCTTGAGAGACCAGGAACACAGCTGGATGCCCAGTGCATCAGACACCCCTCCCCCTCCCATGCTCCAAGGAACCTGCAGCTCTGAGCCAGGGTGGGGGTGGGGATGAAGCAGAGATCCACCAGTGCGGGGCAGGAGGGCCAGGGGCTCCAAATAAACATCCCTCCTGACAGAGTGTCCAGCCCAAACCCACCCCTAGCCCCCCACTGCCTTCTCAGCTCACAGGTTTCTGGATGCTCCTGGAAGGGGTTTGGAGCTGCCCCTTGATTACGGAATTCCAAGGGACCCCAGTTTCTGGCACTCTGGTGGTCTTACTCTCTTGGGGTATTGCTCAGCTCTGATGACCTCTGACCTAGAGAAGTGCCTGGCCCTTCCCAGATTGAAGGCCCATCCTAGAGTGGGCAAAAGGATGGGCCCTGGACTGTAAATGGCAGGTGGAGAGTCTACCTTGGCTGGGCTGGGCTCTCTCCTGGGGCTGCTGCCCACCTGTCCCTTGGCTGATCCCTGCTTGGTGCACTGTGGCTCCCTGTGGCTCTTGAGCCTAGGGCCCACCAGGCCAGGAATCTCTGAACAGCTGCTCCTGTGAGCCCCTTGCAGGGCTGCCAGGGAGGCAGTGGGATTTCCGCTAAACCCCGTGGCCTAGGACTGCAGTGTGGCCCAGGAGACACAGACCTACTCCTGCAGCTCAGGGTGGCCGTGCTGAACCCTCTGGGTATCAGATACTTGTTGTGAGACTCCCCCTTATCCACTGGAGGAAGGTTCAGATCAGGGAGCTGGGTGTCCCCTCCCAGGCCCTGGGGCTCACCCCTTGCACCCAGGGGTGCTGCAGGACTTGGGCAGCGCTCAGCCTCTGCTTGGCATCACGGACAAGCAGCTTGGAGATGAGGTCTTTGGCGGCGAAGGAGATGTGGGCCCAGTCCTTGTCTGGGAATTCATACTTGCCCTCCTGGATGCTCTCAAACAGCATGTTCTACGGGAGGGGTATGATGATCACTGGCAGCCCACAAGGACACCTGTCACCCCAGTGGGCAAATCTGGATGCCAGAGACTGGCAGCCCTACCAGGGTCCCCAGAACCCACTACAGGCGAGGGTGCTGGACCAGCCACCTGGCATGCAGGGTGGAGGACTGGAGAGGGCCCAGGCCCTAATTCCAGTGACTCGCTGGGAGCTCTGGGGCCAAAGTAAAGTGAGGGACAGATGCCTGGAGGGAACCTGAACACTGTCTAGGGTGAAGCCTGATTCACAAAAGGCAGTTCAGGGAGCCTGGCCCTGGGGACAAAAGGTCATGAATAATGACCCTCACACCATGGACAAAAGGCCCAACCACAGACCTCGCACCAATTCTCAAATCCTCAGCTCTGACCAGTGTGTCTGTCTCCTCCCATGGGCTAGGGAACCCAGGACGCCTGACACTACCCTGCAGACCCAATCAGGGACAGATGCCTGGGGCACAAGGGTAGCCCCTAGGAAGGAAGGGGCATCCAGAGCAGGGGGATACCTGACAGGCAGGGCAGGCCTCCCCACGGTCCCAGCCACAGTCACTGCCACAGTGGCCCACGAATGGCGGGTAACCGCTAAGCAGGATGTAGAGGATGACACCCAGGCTCCACAGGTCGCAGCGCTTGTCGTAGATGCTGGCCTCCTCACTGAAGGCCTCCACCACCTCTGGGGCCATGTACTCTGCAGAGCCGCACTGCCAGGCCAAGAGGGTGTGGTCAACAGACCCACCCGCCCCACAAAACCCAGCCAATCAGAAGCTGCTGCTAGAGCCTGCTCGGGCCCCATCAGCAGGTACCCGCCTAGCCCCACCTCCGCCCACCCGAGGCCCCGCCCCATCCATAGCCTGCCAACCAGCAGCTGTGGCTGGAGCTCACCCCGTCCAATCAGCAAGTGCCCAGAACTGGACTGGCACTGCCCTGCTTCATCAGGTGAAGGGAATCTGCCCCGCCCCGGCCCCGCCCCTGTGGCACCCCACCCCCCGCAGCCAATCAGCAGTTGTTGCTAAGCGGAAGCCGGCTCCAGGGAAGGTAGCCGGACAGGAGCTGTGGAGCCGGCCCAGGCACCTGGAGGTTTCGCAAGCTTGCGCACCAAGCCCTTCCCTGCGCGCCCATGGGGCGCCCTTAACTCTCACCGGGGTAAGCAGCTCTGGGGTGGAGATGGGGGAGCAGTCCCCGTTGAGTTTGATGCCACTGCCCAGGTCGAAATCGCAGATCTTTACAGGAGAGACCTGGAGGACCACCAGAGGGCTGTGGGAGGGGTCCAGCCCTGGCAAGCAGAGAAGGACACTCCCAAGGGTGACCCCACAGGACCCGGGTGGGGGCTCGCCTCACCTGGTTGGGGTGCTCACAGAGGATATTCTCGGGCTTTAGGTCCCTGTGGGCGATGCCTGAGGGAAGTGGAGTAGGGGGTTAGGGGTGGAGGCATCTCCCCGGGAGTTCCAGGCAGGTAGAAACCCCAGACCTGCAGTCTGCAGGCACACAGTCAGCCCCACCACCCACCTTTGTTGTGCAGGAAGTCCAAGGCGCTGGCCACATCCTGCACCACCACACTGGCCTCCAGCTCGTTAAAGTGTCGCCGCTTATGGATGTGACTCAGGATGGAACCTGGGGTAAGGCCATGCCAAGGGAGGACATGGTCACTTCCAGGTCCCTGCGCTAATGTCTAGCGCCCACTTCCACCTGAGAGGCTCCTCCTGGTGTCCTGGATTCCCCATCCCTAAAGATGCAGCTGGAAATGTCTCCCAACACTCCCCAACCAGGAGCCCCTACCTACCACCTCGCATCTTCTCAAACACCAGGTAGAAACGATCCTCCTCCTCAAAGAACTCGATCAGCTCCAGAACATTCCTGGGGTAGGGGCAGAGGAGGAGCTGAGGCTTCCTGAGGCCCCTGAGCACCCGTGTCTAGCCTAGGAGGGACAGCCCTCCCATGCCCACCAGGACCTGTCTGCAGCCTGCCACTGGACCCACCCAGTGCCTGGTCAGCATCCTGCTTGCGGTGATTTGGCGCTTGGGCCCATTTATCCATGGAAAGATGACTCAGGGACTGGCACTGTGGTGAGGGCAGGTCACTTTACCTGTGTCCCTGGCACTGGTAGAGCATCTCCACCTCCCGGAACACCCTACTGCGAATGTGGCCTGGCTGCTTCTCGATGATCTGAAACAGGTGGGGAGACACATACCACCTGGGTGAGCAGGACAGACAAGCCCCCGGCAGAAACCTGCCCTGAATGCTGCCTGAAATTCCACCATCAGAGATCAGACCCCTCCCCTCTGGAAACGAGAGCTCTCCTACGTGGCCCAGAAGTTGCTAGAAGTCAGGACTGCGATGTCAGCACAGGCAGGAGGTACGGTGCCACCTCAGCCAGCAGCACCAGGGGAAGGAAAGACAAGTGGGGGCAGCTCTCTGCCCAAGTCTGCGGGCCTGACTCACATCAGGAGCTTGGGCCTACAGGATATCTGAGGGGGGCGCTGGGACAAGTTGGCCAGCCACAGTTCTCTGCTCCCAGACGGCCGGTTCCCACATGACCCATGGAACTAGGGAGGCCTCTGGCACCTGGCTGCCAGCCCAGCCAGTCCCATTTGCCATGCGGCTGCGCAAGTCCTGCCTCCCTGGCTTTGTGCCAGACTGGGCAGATGGCCCCACGAGCTCCAGAAGCCTGTGTCTTTCAGGCCAGCCCTGGTCAGCCTCCTAGCCAATAGTTGGTCCAGCCTCCCAGGACCCCAGAGCCCTGGGAAGTCAGCCCACAGTCTGTAGCCTACGCCCTCTCCTCCTATTAGCTTAAAGGGCTGGAGGGTTCTGCCTCTGCAGGTACCTAGCCATATCTGCTGTCAGAGAAGTGGGGTCAGAGGTGCTTGGCAGCGATCCCCAGTTCCTGCTGGGACTCTCTCCCCAGGTTAGACACCCAAGCTCCTCTCACTGGGTGAGTAGACGCTGGGTGACCTCACATGCCCAGAGCTGTCTCCCACTACAGCCGCTGGCTGGGGGAGAAACTAAAGGGCACCAACAGCTAGTGTACTGTCCCACATGTCTAGTGACAAACACACCTGTCCCAGCAAGAGGTCTCAAGAGACATCACTGTTACTCAATCCAGTGCTGAGTGCCAAGTCCAGAGGGTAGGGTACTCCCCAGGTTCTGGACTACATTGAACCTCATCCTGTCCCCTGGGGAAGCGAGCTAGAACTCCCACTTTACGGAGGACAGTGCAGTCCCTCCTGGCAGGGATCCCTTGCACTGTGCCCACAGAGTGGGACATTCCCCAAACTATCCGAGGGCAATCTGGCTACTCTGCCCCACCCAGCCTGAGTCCCAGTATTTCCTGCTTCCTGTGCCGACACCTCCTCCTGCCACTGCAGATTTCAAAACAGCCTTGACACTATCACCAGGAAGCCCCCTGGGCTCCCCAAACCCTCTGGGTCATGGCAAGGCACTGGGGAGGCAGTCAGGAGCCACCAAAAGGCCACACAGTGTGACTTGGGCTACCTACCCTGTTTTGATCCTCGCACCATGCCAACAGCCTCCTTTAACTTCTCCTAGACAAGGTTCCTACCTCCCTGTTCAAATGGGATGACCAATTCTCCTCTTCTTCCTCCTCAGGCTCCTCCTGAGCCTCAGATGCAGAAGCCACTGGCAGGGCCTGGATGTCCACTAGGGTCTACAGGCTTCTAGCCTACTTGCCAGGGAGCACCTGGCCCTCCTCCCTGGGCAGGCAGCCCTGTTGTGACCCCGCCCAGCCCAGGAGCCGGATGTAGAATCACGAGGAAAGCCTGAAGGCTTCTCAGAACACAGGGTCTGGCCAGTCAGCCTTGCCAGGTTCCAAGGCCATGCCAGGGCCTCATCTGGACTCTGCTTCCAGACCTCTTGGACATACCCAGAGGAATTGGGGGAGAGGGAAACACAGGAAGCTCTCGTGGACCTGCACTGGGTTTCCCCAAGTGCAGAGCCCCCATGCTGGGCCCCAGACACTGCACCCTTGCCTTTCCGTCCTTATAACCAATCCACTAAGTGCTTGTGGTGCCTGGGGTGCTGAGGGCTGGGTGCGAGGCCTGCAGCAGGCCAGCATGGCCTCTGCCAAAGCCTCCAGTTCATGGCAGCAACGCTTGGGCTCTTGGTTCCTGGGTGAGGGTAGAGGGGCCAGCCCTCACTGTCATTCCCAGCGAGACGTGAGGGCTGAGCTAGATTCCCAGGGGCGGCCTGCACTGCAGGGCCCCGGGCCATGTTTAGACACTGGTTTTCCCCAGGCTGTTGGCTAGAGCTGGAACACCAGCCAGGCCCTGGCCAGTAGTGCGAGCAGCCCTGGGGGCAGCGGGGAGAACCTCACCTTGACTGCATACTCCTGGTTGGTGATGAGGTTGACGCAGGTCTGCACGCGGGCGTGGGCCCCTTCCCCGAGCACGTCCTCTTGCAGCTGGTAGACGTCTGGGGAGCGGCGGGGAGGGGTGAGGACGGTGGCTGGTGCCAGCTCCCCAGCACCCTGCGCTGGCTGCCTCACTCACCTTCAAACCTGCCTGAGAAGCTGTCGGTGGCACGGCATCGCTTTTTCTTCTTGCCTCTCTTCTTGGCATCTGGGATGTCGATGGGCTGGCTTGTGGGCATGTCTGTATGGGGAAGGCCAAGGGCTCAGAAGGGTGCTCCCTGCCTAACCCACCTTCCCACAGGGCAGCCCTCACCCTTGTACAGGGGTAACTCAGTGCCATGCCTGCCCTCTTGGCCCTTACCAGGGCGGGCCTCACACTGCGGGCTGAAGTCCGAGTCCGCGTGGTGGGCTGCGTCTAGGGAGAAGGCCAGCTCGAAAGGATTCTGCCCCTGTAGAGGACAGGAGAGAGGAAAGCACTCAGGCCTGGGTGACCATAGCCCCTAGTACATGGAACTACTGACCCAAATGTCAACAGTGTCAAGGCAAGAGACTTTGGGTGCCCAGCACAGAAAAAAAATCTATCACATCCCTACTCACACTAGAAGTGAGTGCACACCGGATGGGCCGGGGAACCCAGCCTCCCGGACTGACTTGTATGCAGCATCCTAGGGCCTCAGCAATGCATCTGACCATGGGGTGCAGTTTCTCAGGGGTCCATGTGATCACCTAACTCAGGGAGCCTCCCCAGGAAACACTGAGTGATATCTAGGGACACTCATGGCTGTGGCTACTGGAGGAGCTCCTGGCATGGAGTTGGTGGAGGCCAGGTTGGTGCTCAGTACTCCACAGTGCCCAGGACCCCACCTCGGAGAGGGATCCAGACCCAAGGTCCACATGCATATGGGAGAAGCTTTGTTTTTGTCTGACCATGAGGAACCGGGCCTTCTACCCCCAGCCCAGGACTGAGTCATAGACGGACCCAAGCCATGTCCTGTGCCTCAGTCTGCTCATCCCCAAAATGTGGACAATCTCCCCAGACACATGACCTCAGCGCTGACCTTGGGGACAGGGCTGTGAGGATCAAAAGCAGCTAGGCAGTGGTAAGGCAGGAGCCGCCAGGCCGGACTTCCAGCTTGTTCTCCCATGATCCCCAGGTTGCATCCGAGGACATGAGCCCTACATGGGTTAAGGCCATTTCTGGCCCTTCTGCCATTACACAGATCTCACCCTCCACACCTGTGCTCATGCGCTGTGCTGCCTGGAACACCCTCCCACAACTGCTCTGTGCATCCTATCTCCTGAGTACCATCAACCCACCTTGGGAAACAAAGCACCACACCTGTGGGTGGCCAGAGTCCAGCTGAACTGCTCTGGCTCCAGAAGCTTATAGGGACATGGGAAGGAGTTGCCAGGCCTTGGCTAGTCCACAGTCTCCACTGTCTAGGTCAGCCTGACACCCCTGGAGGGAGCCCCCTCAGCCTTGGTACCAGCTAAGAAGCCCACCCCTTTGGGGAGGAGCCATTGAATGCCAGGATTCAAATTCAGCCAAGTGCTTGGGTAAGAGACAGAACAAGGACAGGAGAGAGAGTCTAAGTCCCTGGTCAGGGAAGATGGATGTCACAGAAGCCTCTTCTTGGTCCCCAAGCAGAAGACTATTGGAACAAATGTCTCCACAGAATGGATGGTCCAGTTCTAGACTTAAGTCCCCTACATGAGGGGCAGGCCTTGCAAGCTGGGGAGTTTGAGGATCTACCAGGTTGCCTTGTAAACTAGCTCTCATTTAGTCCCCACCACCTTGAGAACAGGCAGCAGGCAGCATGGGCCATGACATGTGTGCCGAGTAATGCTAACATAGGTGCAAGGAGACCTGGGCCAAGTTACTGCCCCTTTCTGGGCCTTGAGACCACTGGGCAGGGCTCTGACAGGAGGGTCATCTGGTAGAGAAATCACTCCAGGAGACTAAGGACCCTGAAGTAGAAAAGGCAACCAGAGGCCAGGAAGCCGCCTGGCACAGAGAGGCAGTGGGTGGGAATGAGAAGCAAGCACTGGCCCTCCCTGCCTCCCCACCCATCCTGCCCTGGCAGAGAGCTGATAGGCCGGCAGGAGAAGGGGGCACCCCGCCAGCCCGGCAGGGAGGCAGGCACACGCATCTAGCACGCAGCGTTCTTATAAGGCTCCTACACAGAGGCACCCGGGGCTCAGGGCAGCCACCACACAAGGGGGCAACTAGAAGGAAGGGTGGACCTGAGTCTCCAGGTCAAAGGAGTCATGGCACCTGCTCCCTGACCATTGTCAGGGTAAGACAGGAGAGGCAGGAGTGTAAGCCTCTGGCCTTCTCTGATCATGGTCCCCATGTGCTAGCCACAGCCTCCAACTCAGAAAGGCTGAGACAGATGAGGTGGCCAGAGCCACACTGGTGAGGGACAGGTCTGCTGGGGCCAGGACGTGATACAGACACCATGTGCTGGGGACCCTGGCATGATCTAGTCCCTCCACATTTGCACTTAAAATGAAAAAAACAGGGCTGGGGATGGGGCTCAGTGCTCACCTAGCACACCAAGGCCGTCAGTTCAACCCCGACACTCCCCAAAAAAGAGTAAAATCACCTGAAAAGGCCTGGCCGATGTGCCTCCCTGCTGAATGGCAAGGGTTACAGGAGAGGTGAGGTGGGGTTGTGGAAGGAGATCCTCCAACGGAGGGCCCCTCTAGTCACAATCAGGACTGTCAAACAGGAGTCGCCACACTGGGGGCTACTACAGTCCTAATTCCTAGCAGGGCCGTCTGACAGTCCTGGCAGTGTGGGTCTGGCTACGGGCCTCCAGTCAGCAGGCCTTGGCAGGAGGCATCCAGAACCATCCAGAAAGCTCAGGTTTGCTACAGCTGCCTCACTGGCCCCTTGCGCTGACCCCATTTTGACTCATACCCTGCCCCATGAGGGGAAAGACCACTGTAGGTGACATCTCAGAATGACCAGTCCCGGACACTCCCAACAGGCCATGACCATGGCTGCCCTAGAGGGAAACAAGGATGACAGGCAATGTGGGGCAGGGGTGGGGCAGCTGGCCAGGGACACTGGCTGGACTGGGAATTCTTCACTAGGCTCTGAATGCTCCTCCCACACTGGTGTGGGTGCCTTCCTACCCACACCACACACACGTTCTGCCTTCTCTACCGGGCAACAGGTCCCTGCCCAAGGAAGCCCAAGGAAGCCATTACATAACCAGGCCTGCGGGGTGGGGCGGGCAAGCTGACATCACTGCGTCCCCTGGGCCAGGCCCCACAGGGGCCCCTGCCCAGCACCTGCCCTCCTCACCGCCCCCAGATTCGCTCATCTGAGACCAGGACTCAGCAGCCGCAGCCACCACTGGGCCTCTGCTGAAACTTCCCACTCCGACAGGAAATAGTGCTTGGGTCTGGGGTGTCTGGGAGGGGTGTCCAATCCACTCCTCCATTTCACAGGCCATCTGGAGGTGGCAGCCAGAGGCAATGACCTGGCCAGGAATTTCTGGAGGAAGATTCCCAACAGCCAAACAAAGGTGGAGATGAGACTCTGGCCTGCTGACCCCCTCTGACCGACCGACGCACAACCAGCTGAGGTTTGCAGTGGGCACCAGCCGGGCCAGGGATTCTAGGAGGGACTACACTCAACCTAGAGCACTGGGCTGTGGACTGCTGACCACCCGCCCAGCACACACCTGGTTAGGACTTGCGGGGGCCACAGAACCACTAGGCAGAAGACTCTAAGCAATTCCTGGGGTTCCTGGAAGAGACCCCGCAAATCGCAGCGAGGAACAGGGCCTGGGCCTTCTGACCACCCAGTCCAGCGCACACCCTTTTGGCGGTACCCCCAAGCACAGGCAGAGGACCCCGCATAAGCTTCCGGGGTGAGCTCTGACCCCACCGGCTACTCCAGTGGTCCAAGCGGCAGCGCCCCCAAACCGACCCGGCCCTCACCTTGAACGAACGGTGGAAGCCCTGAAGTTCGGCTGTTTTCTTCTGCACCATCTTCCGTCCGGGCCCCGCCAGCGGGGGAGGGGACACAGGGC